AGTAGAGCCTTTAAGGCATTTCCCTATACCTTGCTTCTTACTTAATTTTATAGATAAGAGATCTATAAGATAATCTATTTACTTGTCTTATAATAAATATTTCTCTTTAGCTATTATAAATATAGCAAGTATTAAATAATACTTATTCTAAAGAAAGAACTTTTTAGATATTTATAAGAACCTCTAAATTATAACTATAAAAGCTTCCTTTAGCTTATTCTAAAAAGTTAGAAGCTAAGTTATATTAATAGGACCTTCTTTATAATTAGGTCTTTTACTAGATCTATTTACTAGATTTAAAGCGCCTCTATAGTAAATAATATTAAAATTATATATTATAAGATATATTACCTAATATATTTAATAGCTTTCTAGATACTTTATTTCTATAAAATATTAGAAATTATTATAATTTATAATAACCTTAATTATAAACCTGAACTCTTTAAGATAATAATACTAATACTTAAAGGCTTTAATAATTATAAATAGCTTCTTATTATAGGTATTATAGTTATATTTAGCTCTAGAGAATTTCCGGAACCAGAATATTACTAGATACTAGTATTTTTTCGGGTTATTACTAGGATTAACTTATTATAAAATAGTACTAGTAATTACGAATTTTAATATATTAGTTTTAATATAAATCTTCTTAAAAAGATTAAAATAAACCAGGATAAATATTATAGTAAAAGCTTTTTTTAAAGTCTTAAAGCTTTTAGCTACTTTATTTATTTATATAAAGAGACCGGATTTCCGGCCCTTTTTTATTTTTTTTAAAAGATCTATTAAGCCTATAGTTACCTGAAAGTAATAGTAAATAAACCTATAATAGAAATTAGTAAATTTAAGAAATACTTGAATATTATAAAATAATTCTGGTTCTAGCTATTTAATAATATTATAGACCTATTTAGAATCCATATAAATATCTTTTATTTTAATAAAAAAGCCTAAAAATTCGATTTCCTTAATATTAAACTTGTATTTACTAAGTTTATAAAATAGATTATTTTTATATAGCCTAGTAAGTATCTAGTAAATATAATTATAATATTTATTCTCATTTCGGGAATAAATAAAGATATTATCTAAATAAATAATTATAAAATAATCTAGAAGTTTTATAAATATAGTATTAATATATACTTGAAATATAGCTAGTATATTAGCTAGTCTAAAAGGTATTATAAGATATTTAAAATAGCTATAGTAGATTCTAAAAGCTATCTTTTACTTATATTCTTTATAAATTCTTATTTAATAATATATATTCTTAAAATCTAGCTTTATAAAAATCTTGGCTCCTTAGAGCCGGTTAAGAGTCTTATTAATAAGAGAAAGCAAATACTAATTCTTAATTATAATTTAGTTAAGTTTATAATAATTAATATAAAGATATAGTTCTTTATTTTTCTTGGGAATAAAAAGAATAAGTACTTTTACTAGGCTTTTACTAGGCCTTATCTAATATTTATAAAGTATATCCTATAAATACAGATATAATACTTCTAGTTAGGTCTCTAATAGATTATATAAAGGCCCGTACGAGACTATACTATCTATATTAATAAAGTATTTAATACTACTAAGATTAGGAAATTCTAAAGCTTTATTAGGGTCAAAAATCTTTAAGAAGTCTTTATATTTATTATTCCGGAAATAGATAGGTATTTCTAAGGCCCCTTTCCGGAAAGTATTAATTTACTATATTAAAAACTTCTATTTAGTATTACTAGAACTATATAATAAAGTAGAGATCTAGTAATTATTATAAATATATAAAGCCTATTATCTAGAATAGTTATATTTGCTTTTAGTTAAGAATAAGACTTAAAATACTAGCTTAGGGTACCGGTTAAGCTTTTTACTAAACTCTTTTAGTATTAGAATCTTAATATTATTAGGCTATATAAGTATATATATTTATTATTTCTTAATATAGTTTATATATTATATAAGAATTACTTTATAAAATTTTATATTAAAGATAAGGCTATAAAAGCTAATATTCTTATATTTATAGAACTAAAGCTTAAAAGAATATATCTTACTATAATTATCTATAATAAATACCTTAAGATTATAGGCTTAATAGATCTTAAATTAGTTCTTATAAAAGATTATAAATTCTTAATTATATTTAGCTAAGATAATAAAGCCCTGACTTTAAATCTAATTATTATTAAGGAAATTATAATCTAATCCGGTATTATCGAGTTTATTATATTTCTAAGGCACCTATTTCTGGCTATATTAATCTTATTTAAATAATTATATAAAGTAATATATCTTTTTTATTATAGCTAAAATTATTAATATTTAAGATTTGGTCTTTTCTTTTCTCTATTTCTTAGAAAAGTCTTCTTTAAAGTATTTCTTTATAGCTATAGCATTAACCTACTTTTATAAATACCTTAATTCTTCTATGATTTTGGTCTTATTAGGGTTCTGCCAAGTCTATTTAATATATTTAAAATACTTTATATTTCCTAAGAAATATTTTTTCTATTTATAAGTCTAATAAACTATATCTAAAGTAGAACTAGTACTTTATTAAGGCCTTAAAGAGGCCAAAATATTACCTAAGGATTTCTTATATAATTTTCGGAACTTATTCTTTCTTTTTTAATAGCCTTACGAATTAGAATTTACTAAGTCAGAGTTTTTAGGAGCAGAGTTACTCTTACTAGACTTCCCTATTTTTGCTTTTCTTAATTTAGAATAAATAGTATATTTTACTTTCTGAGCTTTCTTAAGTTACTCGGGAATAGATATTACCTTATTTTCTAAGAAAATAGATATAAGTATCTAATAAGTCTTATAGTTAGATAAAGTAGTATTAAGAGTCCGGACCTAGTCTTTTTTAGGATATGGGTTCTAGTTAATTTCGAGACTAATTATTTGAATATATAATTCGGTAATTATTTTACTATTTTTCTAATAAAGATCTCAGAGTTTTTTAAAGGCATCTTATTAACGGATTTGAGGTACTTAGAGTATATTAGCTAAATAGGCCTTAAATTGCTTCTAATAAACCTTATATAATAATAGGCTTTGCTTTATTATAGCCTCCCAAGTATTATAAGGTTCGTTCCTAAGAGTACTTATAATAGAGTTAATTCTAGAAAAGTATTTATTATAAGTCTAAGGTTAGGTTCTAAAACTATTTCCTAGAAAAATATAAATATTTTTTATTTCTTAAGGAACTTTCTATAATATAAGTCAGGTATCCGGACCTTAAGAAGCTTTTCTTAGTTTAAATACATCTTTAGGATATTATATAGTAGCTCCTAATAAATAGTATCGAGATTACTCTTAAAGCTTATTATATTAGGAAAAGAAGTAGGTTCTAATCCCATTTTAAGAAGTTTCCTAATAGGAATTACTAAGGAAAATAAAATAGACTTATAAATAGAGTTTTTATAAAATATAATAAATTATAAGGTATTTCTAAGGATATTCTTATATTATTTTAATTATAAGATATATTAATTAATTATATCTACTAATTCTTGCTTTTATTAAAGTGCTTTAACTTTAGTATATAAGCCCTATTCTATAGTTTGGGTAATAGTAATTCGGATATTAATCTCGGTATCTTAATTATTACCGGGATTATTTCCGTTATTATTATTAGCTCTCAGAGGCTCCTAAAAGGCCCTATTAAAAGTATTAAACAAGCCTTTACTATTACTCGTATTAGGATTAATCTGATTAACTTTCTTTATAGGAATAGCTTTAGTAAGAGGTTATATATTTTGCAGATTTCGAGATATAATTACTTATTAAACTATCTTCTTTAAGGATAGAGAGATTAGTTTATAAGGTATTTATTAGTAAGTTATAAAACTATAGTATTAAATTTAGTATAGAACTAATCTCTATTCCTCCTATAAGATCCAGGGAAGCCCTCTCTAAATAGGAGGCCCTAATAACATATATATAATTAGTAATTTATAAGCCTAATACTTATAATATAATTAGTAGTTAGTTGTAAAGTTAAAGGGCCTCCGATCTCCCTAATTAATACCTGTAATATCCGAGGTTTATTATATACCCTTAAGTTATATATAACCCTATATATATTATAGTTATTTATCTATTAGTAAGCTCTAAAATATACTAGAATAAGCAGGCTATAATATTAATATAAAAGCCTTTAAGTACTTTATAAAGTATTATAAGTAATACCAGAAATTCGGATAATTACTAAAATAATTTAAATTTAATCTAAAAGATAATATTAGCTTTAACTATTCTATTATTATTAATATTTTCTATATTTCCGGTAAGCCTATACTTTATATTATTAATAAAAGTACTCGATATTAAGCCGGCTAATAGCTTTAAAATATTAGTATATTATATATTTAAAATACTTAACAAAGCAAAGAAGCCGTTTTCCAATCTCACGTGACAAGTAATGAGCAGCCTCAGATCAGCGGGCCGGCCCCCCTGGATAGGCCAAGGCTTAAGCGAGCCCAACGTGATGTCATTAAGGTTATCATTGGCGGGGTATGAGATACACGTGAGCTGCACTGTGAGGTCATTTCCTAGTGCCGTCTCAGTCGCCTCATCACTTCCACGTGGTGCGGCGGAACGTACCGCCGACACAGACTCTTCGTATATGCCTTTGACCTCTAACGTTGCTTCCGTACTAGCTCAGCAAACTCGACTATACTAGTCGAAACATGAATATAGTAGAGAGTAACTACAAGTTAGATCCAGTCCCAGACATTTCTCCGGATGGCAATATTATATTAGTAGTCGGACCTCGGAACGTATAATTAAGAATTTAATTCTAATGCCTTAGGTATACCTCAAAAGTCTTTGGTACTATATTCGGGCCCACTTGGAATAAAGGTCGAGAACTTTCCAAAGAATTCCTACGGAAGGTTTAACTAGTAGAGGACAATACCAATATATTACGGATAATTTATTATATTATCTATTATTATAATAATAATATACTATAGTCCCTAATACTAATAGGAGTTCTTCAAATTACTATCGAGGCCAATAAATATAATCTTAATATTGCCCTGAAATACATTAGGGTATAGTAGTTAAAGCCTAGAGGGAAGCCAGAGAGAGAGGATATGGGATATCTTCTGGTTATAGCCTTCTTATTCGGTAATATAGATATATTTATAGTATATACTCTGGCGCTAATCCTTTATTATACGGGGTCTTACTTGAAATTCTTAAATAACGAGATTACTAGTCAAATTATCCCTTGGAAAACGTTCTATATGTAATAACCCTAATACCTCGGATATTATACTAGTAATTAACTTTTCTAGACCTATTAGAAGAGTAAAAGAACTAAATGCAAGTAGAACTATACCAATTATTAAAAGATGGAATTAACTTCGTTAGCGGCTGTTCTAACTACGGCTAGGGCAAAAACCGCAGTAATAAATATAAAATACTTTAATTCTACTACGGGCCATTAAGGATACTTGAAGTCCCTATATCGGAAATTATTAAAAGTATAAAAGCGGTTTTATGTAAAGATATGGCACGAATATACTATTCTTTAATCTTGAGCTATTAAAGCTATTATTATAACGTACTAACCTATAGCGAAACGCTTACCGGAAAACTGGAAACTATAAAAAAGAAGGTTGGCATTTGTCTCGACTGCATATGAAGTAGTAATACTATAACGCCCTGTAGATTTCAGTATGAGTAAAGAAACCGAGGGACAGAAGGATTATTAGGAATAGACACTCGGTACAAACTATAGGAATGCTCTGGATTTTTATATTATTAGCCAGAATAGTTTGGGTTTCAATATAAATTTTCAGCTTGCTCGAAGTTCTACTAGGCTAAATTCGTATACTTTAAGCCAAAGCAGTCCGAATTATAGTAGTGCAATTCGGACTGCTTTAGCTTAAAGTATAAATAAGGCATATATACGATCTTGTAGTATATTAAGGTATCCTACTTTAGATATAACTACTTTGAAGTATATTATTTCAAATTAATATAATCGCAATTATAGTACTCCGAATCTAAAAATAGTTTCGGGCAAGGGTGGTTTATTACACTGCATTTTTTATGTGATTTCCGGGGTTGCCCGTCCTGGAGGGGCTGAATTAGGTCCCATGGCACTAGTATTGGGAATGGGCAAAATTCGGCTCCCTGACACTGGCGTATCCATTTCGCTAGCGCTTGACCAACGCCAGCGTTGGGAATGGAGCAAGATTCGGCTCCCTGACGTCGGCGCATCCGTTACGCCGGCGTTAAAAAGGGAGCAGAAATGGCTCCCTAACGCTGGCACATCTATTACAATGGCGTTTGAGGAACGCCGGCGTTAAAAGGGGGCAGAAATTGGTTCCCTGACGCTGGCGCATCCGTTTCGCCGGCGCTTGAGGAAAGTCAGCGTTAGGGATAGGGGGCATAATTCGGCTCCCTGATACTGGCGCATCCATTTCGCTGGCGCTTGAGGAACGCCGGCATTAGGGGATGGCAAAACTCGGCTCCCGGCGCTGGCGCATCCGTCTCGCTAGCGCTTGAAGGCCCCTTTTCGCGAGCGTCAACCGAATTCTACCGGAAGCCCTAATGATCTGACCAAAGGGGTCATAACATTGTTAGTTCCATTCCTCAGGCCGAAATATTTTTGATATTTAATGATCTGACCAAAAAGGTCGGAACATTATTAGTTCCATTCCTTAGGCCGAAATATTTTTGATATTAAGAATCTGATTAAAAAGGTCAGAACATTATTAGTTCTATTCTATTAAGGATATTTTTAGTATTAATAATCTGACTAAAGGGGCCAGAATATTATTAGTTTCATTCTTTATACTTAGGAGCCAATGCCAATACGGAATTACATACTATAGTACTACTTCTAGGAGAAACTTCCTGGGAGAATTTTCCTAGGAGATTACGGGTCCTGTAAAAAATCGCTTAGGAGAATATAGCTCCTATAAGAAATTTCCCAGGAGTTATATTCTCCCAAGAGCCGTAATTTCCCAGGAATTTTATTATAAGACCCATAATCTCCTAAGAAATTTCTCCTAACCCGAGGCTTATAAGAGAAAGGTCCCAGATTATAGTTATAAGAAGCTCGGTTATAGGAGCTTTCTCCCGGTTATTATAATACCCCAGGAGCTTTCTGCTAGTAGTATTTTTTTTATAAATAATAAGGGAAGGCTTATAAAGTCACATATAGGCTATAGTTAAATAAGAGAATATAGATTAATAAACTGTAATGCATATATTAATGAGCGTCCAGCTGGATTTGGTAGCCTAATTAGGCTAGTGCTTATGTGGGATCGCACTCCCAAATTGGGACTAGTGCTTCCGTACATCCAGCGGAATACTAGATTCTATATATGGAGGTATGCGAGCTTTGGAAATGGGCATCGATTAGTTTATTACTGAGAACCAGTTCTTGGAATCAATTATACTTCCACGCTTCACTCCATACTTTACCCTATATTCCACTCCTTTACCTTGACTACTTGCGTAGCACCCTGCTATATTGGGAGCCTCACATAAACTAAGTTAGATCTCTATAGAAAGTATATTAAAGAGTATATAAATCTGAAGTTACTATACTAAAGAGGTTCTAGGCTCTAAGCTCTATTACTTTATTTATATTACCTAATATTAATTAAAGTAAAATATATAAGAATATAGTTTCCTAGTCGGAACTACTAGGAAATACAGCCTATATAGTATATAAATAAAGTATATATATAATAGATATATATAATAATATATAGACAGGTATTAGATATTATGAATCTAGTTTCTTATTTTAGGTAAAGCTTGTAATCAGAATTATATAGGTAATCGGAATCATACGGATTACATAAGATCGTATTTCTTAGTTAAATAAAGTGCTTTACAGGCTTGGCTAAGTACTAGAGAATATATAGGAAAACGCTTCTAGCTTTGGAAAGAAGTATTAATTAGTTTTTTATTGGAATTAATTCTTGGAATTAGTTATACTTATAAGTATTACTCTATAGCTTATTTACCTTAACTATTTATATATTACCCTACTATTATATACCTTATATTCTAATTAATCTAACCTTCGGGAAGTAGTTTATTATAAGATAGTCAAGCTATTAATAGATAAAATATTAATAGCTAGAGTATTAACCAGGAGAAGTACCTTTACTACTATTAGGGCAACCCAACCGGATACCCAGGGGAGTACCCAGTCAAGTACTCTTTATATTACCTAATTAGAAAAAGAAAGTAGAACTCAGATACCCCCAGAACTAGTAGATAGAATAATAATAATAATAGAGAAATTAGTAGCGGCTCGCTATTATATTACTAAATTAGAAACAGAGATATAATAGAAAGAAGATCTAGAGGAGCTAGAAGCTCAGATCCGTTATCTTAAAAATATTTAAATACCCGGTATAGAATCCGTTATATCCCCGGTAGTATCCTTGGTTCAGAGGGCTCCAAAAACCCGAGAACTACTTACTTATTAGAGAAAGAATATTAAAGAAGCCCAGGACTTCTTCTATTAGGTAAAGTTAAAGTAGTATAAAGATAGTAGGATTACCTAGACTACTAATATAATAAAGGTTATATATTATATTTCCTGTTTTGAGAATATAGCCAGGAATATCTAGAAGTATAGGAAGTAATTAGTAGATATTAATACTACGGATTAGGAGATCTTTATTGAATTTATAAAGAATTCTATTTTGGATCCGGAAAACTATAATAATAATACCCTTATTAAGTTTAAGGACACCAAATAATAGTTAGGCTAAAGTATCTAAAGCTTTATATCTTACTTGAATAGCCTATTAGATAACTTGGGATATATGGGTTTATTATAAGAGTAGAATAACTTATTTAGTAGTTTGAGGTAAGAGATTCGGAATAAGATTAATTATTAAGGAAATACTCTATAAGAAAGGAAAAAGCTTATTTCTATAGTTATAAGAGTTAAGAATAATTTAAACCTATTTATTTAACGGGAATATAATAATAAGTTAATAAAATAGTAAAAGAAAGGAAATAAGAAAAAAGAGAAGAGAAATAATAAAGAGAAACGGAAAAGAAGTATATCTCTATTATAAGATTTATAAAACCGGAATAATAAAGGTATAATAATAGAATCTAATATAATACCTGTATTAGGATCTATAAAACCGGATATAATTTGCTTTACTTACTAGAAGGAAAGTTACTATACTACTACTTGCCCTAATTAAGAGAAACCGACTTATTATAACTATAATAAGTCTGGCTATAAAATATATAAATACCCAGAATTAAAGAAGCCGGGAAATAGGTATATTCTATAGTAATTATACTTATTTATATTATAGAAAATAAGGCCCCTGAAACGAGAATAGTAATTGAGGTTACTATTAAGATAATAAAAGGTAAGTAAAAGATTAGAATATTAGTAGATTCGGATATAGAGGCTAATTATATAAAGAGGAAATTAGCTTTAAATATAGGTATTCTATTAATATTAAAAGTAATTCTTTTATTCTTACTAGAGGGAAAAAGAATTCATTTATATAGAGATTATATTCTTGGGGTTACTACCGAGGATATATTAGGGAACTAAAGAAAAGCTAATATATATTTTATATTATATAATTTTAATCTAAACTATATTAATATAATACTTGAATTCCTATAGCTTTACTAGATTAACTTCCTGATTTCCTTTAGAAAGGCAATATAGAGATATTAGATTTAACTATAAAAAGTTAAAGTTCTAAATATTAGGAAGTTTACTAAAATAGTAAAATATAAGATATATATTTTTCTATTAATTACTTATCTTATAATAGATAGCTAAAAAATTACTACTATTACTATTAATAAGATAGTTATATTTTCCAAGAAGTATTAGAACCTTTTCCAAATATTCTCTATAGAGGCTATAGATATACTATCTGACTACTATATAATAAAATATTATATAGATTTGGAACCAGGGTTCTAACTACTATATAGTCCTATATATATTTTATTAGAAAGAGAGCTTAAAGTCTTTCGGGAATATCTTAATACTAGTCTAGAGAAGAAATAAATCTATTATTCTACTAGTCTAGCTAATACCCCAATTATATTTATTCTAAAGAAAAGAGGCGGCCTATATTTATATATTAACTACCAGAGTCTAAATAGGATTACTATTAAGAACCGAATACTATTATTACTTATTAGTAAGACTATAAATAGGCTTTATAGAACAAAAGTATATATAAAGCTAGATTTAAAGAATACTTACTATTAGTTATAAATATAG